TTTTTTTTTTTTCTTTTTGGTTTTTCGAGACAGGGTTTTTTTTTTTTAATATTTATTTATTATGTATACAATATCCTTTCTGCATGTATGCCTGAAGGCCAGAAGAGAGCACCAGACCTCATTACAGATGGTTGTGAGCCACCACGTGGTTGCTGGGAATTGAACTCAGGAACTCTGGAAGAGCAGGCAATGCTCTTAACCTCTGAGTCATCTCTCCCACCCCCTCGAGACAGGGTTTCTCTGTAGCTTTTGAGCCTGTCCTGGAACTGACTCTTGTAGACCAGGCTGGCCTCAAACTCACAGAGATCTGCCTGCCTCTGCCTCCCGCGCGCCCAGTGAGCTCTTATGGGGAGGGCAACAACGTGAAGTACTCAGCAGCAAGAGGCAGCAACTGCTCTGCAGACAACACCAACACTCAGTGCACAGAAGAAGGAAAGCTGGGCTTCAGCCCTGGCAGGTTTTGCCCACCATGGCGGCGGCAGTGAGCCAGGTAGTCACACTTGGTTTTTCTTCACCTGCTCTGTTTAGAACAATGTCCAGCACAGAGGAGGGCGGGAAATTCAGTGTCATCCTAAGCTATGTGACAAGCTTGACGCCAGCCTGGGACACATGAGACATTGTCTGAAAAAGCCGAAGTTCAGCAGACTGGACAGTGTTGAAGAGAAAACTAGTGAGCAGGAGAAGAGTCCACAGAAAACAGGCAGAATCAAGTGTAGGGACAGAAAAGAATGGAGAAATACGGAAAAACGGAAGAGACACAAACCATCAGGAGGGGGCCGGATGCAGAGCAGAAGAAACAGTCTTATTTAAAAAGTTCTGTTGATTTCCTGTATCCTCCAAGTTCATCCCCATATAAAAACCAAAAAAACAAAACAAAACCAAAAAAAAAACCCAAAATGTAAAAATGTAAATGCCAAAGCTGGGTATGATTGCACTCACCTATAGTCCCAGCACTCAGAAGGCTGATGCAGGAGAGATTGTTGTTGAGTCTGAGAATCCTAGGCCTCAGAGTAAGTTTCACGGCTGCCTACACAACAGTCTGTGATCCTATTTCAAAACCCAAAATAAACTAAAAATAAGGCAGGCAAGGTGGCTCAGTGGGTAAAGGGGCTTGCTGCCAAGCCTGACGACCTAAGTTTGATGCCCAGGACTCCTCACAGGATTGACACAAGGAAGAAAGGGATTCCTGAAAGTTGTCTTCCCACACACAGGCAAAGAGGTCTTTTTTGGAAAAATATGTTATTAATTAATTTATTTATTTGTATGTATACACATATACATGTCAGCCAGAGAGTGAAACTCGGATTGTCAAGTTTGGTGGAAAGAACCTTTACCCATTGAGGCATCTCATTGTACCATAAATAAATCTTTTTAAAAACAAAACCCCATCGGTGGTAGTGTTTCACATCTTTAATCCCAGCACTCGGGCAGCAGAGGCTAGTGGATCTCAGTGAGTTTGTGACCAGCCTGGTCTACAGAGTGAGCTCCAGGACAGTCAGGACTGTTACACAGAGAAACCCTGTGTCAAAAACAAAAACAAAAATCCCAATCCACATCTACCACCATGTACAGGCTGTACACAGGGCTCCGAAGGGCTCTGGCATGCCCTTCACCAAGCCACCAGGATCTGTGTGACACTGCTCTTTGACCCGGTTGGCTCATTGCTTTATCACAATAAGCAACAGCAAAGCTGTCCCGGTGTCTTTACAGAGCCCTGAAGATACTGGAGGCTTCTATGTCTCTCTCAGGACCTGGCTGGCATGCCATGGGGAGCTGGGGCAACAGGGGAGATCCCTGGGCCCTGAATGAAGACACTTGTGAAGAGAAAAGTGCAGCCGAGCTGTCCAAGCAGGTGCTCTGCAGAGAAATGAGTCCTTGTCACTGAGCTCTGCTCAGACCGCAGATTTAGGCTAAATGAATCAGTACTGCTTGAGGCCAGTACATCCTGGGATGCTCTGTTACAGCAATAACTGGCACCGAGGCACTGTTCAACACAAGACAGCAGAACCTGATGTGTACACAAGCTGTAAGGAGGGGATTAACATGGCAGAGGATAACCACAGTGGGACAGCTGGCTTGTCAACACGGAAGTCAAGACAACACAAGGACAGCTCCACAGAGCCAAAAGAAAACAAATCCTGGGAGAAGACTACAGTAAACCCCCAACCAAACAAAGAACAATCCGAGGGGGCTGGAGAAACGGCTTAGCCTTTAAGAGTCACCCACCCTTGTAGGGTGGACCACAAGTGCC